AAACGACGTGTACTTCTATCTGCTTGACGTACAAATACAGTAGCCACGCCACGTCCATTCCGTTGTCTTCTTTCTGGGCGACGTTGAACGCGGTCGCCAATATTTTCCTCGCCCATTCTGGATACATGGCGTTCATTTCCCGGTGTAAATTTTCCACATGATCGGGATACAAAAAGGACTGTGGAATCGTCAGGTGCAAATACGACCACACGAAGTACGCGTCGTTGCATTTGATTTCTTTGCGAATCGCCGCGGATGTCCGTATCATTACGGTGGTGTCAGATTGGTTCAGACTTTCTGGCGACTCCGTCGGTCGCTGCACGCGTTCGAATTGTCCTCTTTTGAACGAATGAATATCCCACGGCTGACCTACACAAGATGTCCCTTGACTCGATTTCTTTTTTCCAAAACCCCATTTAAAGCCAACCGTCATGTTGACAAAGACCGACACGACGACAATCAACGTGGTCCACTTCAATGGGAGCGCCATTTTTGAAACACTTATACAGTATACAGTGAGACGCAGGGCTTGAGCAGAAATAATAGCTTAAAAATAAAATATTTACCTGCTAAACAGCGACTGCAACATTCGATAAGTGGACTGCAACATTTGATTTCATTGCTTGAGACGGGAGAAAAATGAAATAGCATAAATTGTCAATGCAGATGTGCACACGAAGAGCCACTAACTCAAATACGGTAATCACTGTGCGTACACGAGCACGTGAATCATCGAAAACAAGGTTAGTTTTAAACCGTGTAAGTAAATATACGTGGGAGTGGAAAGTATGACATGGTGGGTGCCGTGCAATAGAAAAGCGTTACGAGTACAACTAACCATTATACATAATATTTATAGATTTTAAGCAGGCATACGATTCCATCAAGAGAAAATCACTGCGGAAAAGCGTGGAAATGTTCGGTATACCATCGAAATTATTCAGAATGCATTGAGGGATCAAGATGTAACATCAAATTTGGAATTAATTACTCAGAGGGATTCGAGGTAACGGTAGGTTTAAAACATGGAGGTGTCCTGACACTGACGCTGTTTAAAATTGCCCCAGAGGAAGTTGTCAGGAAAGTCCAATAACAACGAATGGTGTTATGTTCAATGGCTTAGCCTACGTTGATAATGTAGTGGGTCAAATGAAGAAAACATAAAAAATACTACAAAAGAGCTGATAACCAGAGCGCTGAGTATAGTGCTAATAATAAGTGAAGGGAAAACTTAATATATGATAGTTATGAGTGGTAATCAATTACACCAAAACAGAAGTTTGGAGATAGAAAATTATTGATTTAAAAAAGTAAAAAGCTTTAAATATCTAGGAGTTGACATAAATAGCCACAATAATTACCACGAGGAAATAAGACTAAGGATAAACGCTGAAAACAGATGCTATTTCGCGATACAAAAGACCTAAGGTCCAAGTTATTATCAAAAAAATGCGATTATACAAGGTTAAGTTAGGTTACAAGGATTTTTCATACATAAAAAAAATAACAAAAGCAATAACAATTTTTGAACGATGTCGTGCAGATTTTGCAACAAAAGGGAAGACATTACCAAAAATTTCTTTTCATCATATTATGAAAAAATGCTTGAAATGTTATGAAATCGATATGATTATTACTAAAGCAATTTTGGTCGCTGAAGAAAAATCAGCTGTTATTGCCCAAGAAAAGAGAACATACCTAAAAAAAAATATTTCTACTTAAAATAAGTTTTCCCTCGAATAACCCTACGTTAGTTTATTCTTTAAAAAAATGGACATTTTGTTGTTACTCTTTTGGAAAACATTTTAATGTCTAGTTTTTATTCTGAAAACAATATAAAATGGTTAATTTATCATTTTAGTCATTTAAGTCAGATGGCATAAACTTTGAACGATTAAAAGAAGTAATTAATTCTGCGAATTTGATTGCCATACAAAATGGTAATATTGAGTAATAAACATTATAATTATTATAATCAATAAATGTGTTGAGTAAAGCGATCCAAACCATTAAAAAAAACACATTTTGGTAATGCTTTCTTCCATTTTGTATTGTTGCAAATAATAATTATTTTTTTAAAATAAAAAAGCCATAGTTCTCGGGCCCGGAAAAATATTGAAAAATTGTCAATGTAGGTATTAAAATAAAAAACATGGTCAGTTTTTCTTTTAAATTTTTTAAACTTTAACAATAATGCAAATTTACACGTTTTTATGTTACAAATGAAGTCATTCAATAGCCCAGTCCAGGGTGCTTAAACTCTGGCTAAGAATCTAAAATTTTTAACTGAATATTCTCAATTTATAAAATAAAATATGATCTCTTAACAATACTAACAACATTGATTGTTTTTTACTAGTCTTTGATAACAATATGACGTTTAAGAAAACAATTCAAAATATTTTTTTGTTTTACACTAGTTACTAGTATTTAATGGGAAAATATTATTATCTTACACTTCACTTGGACTACACTCTGTTCGTGAACTAATTTCCAATTGAGCCCCCGTAGTCTGTGTACTTGATGAAAATTAAAAACTTTTCAAAGAAAAAAGAAAACCAATCAATGAAATTAGCAGTGCTTTCTTTGCTCCGCTTACAGTCTTAAAAATGACATTTAGGCATTTAGCATTTTCATAATATTGTAATACAACATAAAAATATATATACTTTTTTTTAATAAAAAAACGCAACTAAGAGATATAGAAAAACGACAAACCCTAATCGCATCCACCCTAACACGGGTGGTACTAATCGTCAAAGAAGTATGGACATCGGTTTTTCAAACGGGGACATATATTTGGGAAATATGTAGATAAAAATATTTATAAATTGTTAGCATTTGAATTTTTAATTCAAGGTCAATTGCGTTCGGTTTCCACAACAGTAGCCCATTAATTTCACATTAAATGATAACAATGAGACGTTGTAAGATCTTTGCAAAGTCATAACAAACGAATAGGTTGGTGAAAATTAAAAATTCAGACGCTAACGATTTTTTAAAAACGTGTTGTCTATATAATATAATTATTATTTTTTTCTTAACAAAATAACATTCTAGACAAATTTGGTTCATAATAGGTTAAGCTGTTCTGACGGTATGCGTCTCATATAAATTATCATCTGCTACAGCTGCTGAGCAATGCATAGCAAACTTAACATAAAAAGAATGTCAATTATAACATTTTATAAAATTATCACCATAAATTTTATTTGTAATTTGAAAGTTACATTCTACTCATACATTAAACGTTGACATTGGTGTTGCACTCTGCGCTTGAGTCCTCTCTAGTTGGGTTGGGCATTTCAAGTCCAAAAAACTTAGATCGTTAGGCCAGATAATTTTTCGGTTACTGAAGATACATATTTTTAACGCAGATTTTGGCGGGCTTATTTCTCTACCCAATTCCAGTTTGATGCTTCATGCTGTAGTCTGTAAAGTGTAATTTAAAAAAAAAAACATAATAATCTACAGTATGATTAGTTAGTAGGTAATTTAATGCAAATCAATACTGGGTACGTTTAACTTTCAAAAGTCAATATGCTCTAGGAAATACTAAATAAACGATAGAGTGGAACTTACCGATGAGAAATAACACAAATTGGCAATAAACTATCGAAGTGAACACTAGTTCGATCAATAAATTACCTAGTTACTAGCTGTTAGTTGCCTGACAAATACATTAAAGAGAAAAACCATAGCAACAATAAAAATGTGTAATGATAGTTCAAAATAATCTCTATAGATGTTATACTACCTGTTTCCTTTTATACGTTTCAACTATTATTTTTAATTATTTAGTTAGATAAATTGGTTTATTATTTAGTTTTCCTTAAGCATGCCGTTCGGATATAACATGTTATTGCATTTTATAGATTAAACTATATTGCATAAATAATTGTTTCATTGTAATATTGTACTTGTATGTATTTTAATATGGTAATACTTACTAAAACTTTATTTTACATCAAAATACAAATTATAAAAATACATTATATTTTTTTTAATAAGAAGTCCAATAGGTAGAAATTTGTATAAAATATTATTTAGACAGAGTACGATTAATATACGTTGACTAAGCGAAAAATATAATTTGTATGAACAAGTGTTGTAGAAGAAAATTAAAAAATATAATTATTTAAATTTGTTTTACAATTTAGCGACCGTACAATGTCTTGCGAGTGTAATATATTAGTACTAGTTACACTGCAATAGAATCTGATTTGGTTTCGATAAATCCGCAAGTATACCAAAATATGTTTTTACTTTTTTACTGTTACCCTCAAACGGATCACCCGGTATTCGCCGTATAGTCAAAAGCTCGGGCGGGGGGAAACTTTATTGATTTTGCGAAACCCTTTTAATTTCGTGCGTTCAACCAAGACCCGTGTAGGTGTCGTTTGATCTTCTACGTGGGTGTAAAGTGCCTCATAAAGGTGTACGACCCGTGTGCTTCGAGTATCGCGTGCTCGCATAAAAACGCAAAGTCGACGGCAGTCGTATAACACTTGCCACTGACCGGAAGTGGTGGTGCCCCTCGATTTACTTCCCCTGTATCCCCACAGAGTCAAAACTCCCGCAGTATACCCACGACGCCTTCCGCCCACCACCGGTTATAGTGCTATGATATTTTACTACTTTTTAAAACGTCTACCACCATTACACCGTTGCGTTTAACTTGGTCGTCGTCTTTGTTGTTGTTGCCATTGCCCGAAGCCCGTACCCCTGGCAACCGCTGCGCTCGTAAGACGGTCGGGGTCGAATAGCGGTGAACATTATGCAAAAAAAAAAAAAAAAACCCCAAAAAAAAACTAAAGCCGGTGTTAAGGGGTGGGTAAGAGAGCTCCGGAGGGGAGGGTGCGGAAATAAAAGAGAAGTCCGTGTGCTTTACACCGGTGCGTTGGCGACTGGCCAATTTGCCCCCGCAATCATCAGTCAGGTAGCGCACGGTTAACCCATATGACCGCGCCGTCAACAGTTCGAACAATTCCGGCTGTACCGTAGACTCGTTTTTTATGTTTTTTGAAATTTTTTTTTTTTAATCGAAAAGAAACCTACTCGGGTGTGGTGTAGCTCGCCGGAAATTATGCATTGACGACGACGATGGGATGCAACCCCAGCAAAGACGGCGAGCCGATAGTGGGCAATCGGATGCAAAACGAGGTGTCCCCCGTGCAGTTGGTCAACAACAGCGGCGGCGGCACTAACCTAGTGCCATCGGTCGACATGATGCTGATACCGTTGACCGAGGGTAGGTGAAGATAGTAAACAGAGCTGTGCACGATATTATATTATTAATGTAAGCGCAGAATAGCCAGATGAGACAATTCGGTGGAAATTGGGATTGGTAATTGTCGAGAGCACCGGTGTAGCCGGAAACCGACCGTTATTACAAATTATTCATAACTGCCGATTTGGCACGTTTTCCGGTTTGGCAATCCGACAGTGTCGCCTGAAATAAGATTAAAAAAATGGCCATCATCTTCATACTGCCTACCCTGATTCTCACACGGGTGTCTTTTCTGGTTATTCTGTGGCATTAGCAGAATAGTATTGATTAGAATACGGTGAGTTCCGTTGCAGGCGACATGACGCTCCATTTCATTGTTGGTTGGGGTTGTATACAACCCCTTACTATTTATCACTGTCAGTTGCGTAATAACGATTAAAAATATTTGGCGCCAAAATTTTTAAAATATACAGTTATTTATATAAATTTTCACGGTGTTTTACTTTTTATAAGTACATGTATAGTATGTACAGGGTGATTCTTTTTGGGTAAGACACTAATTTTCTCGGAAAATATAAACATTTAAAAAAAATAATTTTCTATACTTTTAGGAACACGTTGTACTACATTTTTCAATACTGTGAACATTTATATCTTCAACCCTTATACAAAAAAAAGGTAGAACATCACTTTTTCAAATGGCAACATATTATGTTTTAAATTCCATAAACATATAGACAAAAATTGTAAAAACAATTTTATTGTTTGAATTTTTATCCATTTGTTCGCTTGTTATGACTTTGTACAGATTTAAATTTTCGTCTATATTTCTTAATAATTTCATTCGGTTCAACAAAGAAAAGTAGTTTTATTACAACAGTCATCACATAAAGTAATAATTTAGTAGATCCGCTGGTCAACCATTAAATAAAACATTTTACTGTGTTTGGTTATCGGTGTTCTCGCCTATCGGACAATGCGAGCATAATTAAGAATTGTATGGGCTACCGGCCTTTGGGACACCGAAAAAATATGACAATATTTAGGAGAAAATGTAATATCTTTACAAAGTCATAGCTAACGAACAGATGGATGAAAATTAAAAATTCAAACGATAACAAATTTTAAAATTGTTTGCCCCCAAATTTATGAAATTAAAAACATATGTTGTCATTTGAAAAATTGAACTAGGACCCTTTTTATTGTATAAGGGATAGAGATAAAAATGTTCAAAGTATTGAAAATATAGTACAAAGTGTATCTAAAAAAATATGAAAAAAATAATATTCAAAATATTAACATTTTCGGAGAAAACTAGTGTCTTACCCAAAATGAATTGCGCTGTATATTGTTCCTTTTTTAGTCTAGTTCTAATATTTAGTATCTAATTTCTAAACACCGTTATCACTCTTATCACGGAGAAAAAAGTTTTCGAGTTCGGTTATGTTAGGCTTCCCGTGTTCTAATCTATAGTATTTGGCACTAGCACAGATTAGATGATACGAGATGCACGAGATTAACAGAGATTGAACGACCGAGGGGGTGGGGAATCTAAGGGTGCTAAAGCCTTCTGTCTCTACCATCGTCCCTGTTATTAAACAGCGTGTCAATCAATTTGAAAGCGAAGAGATTCGATTTAAGATGTAATAATAATAATAGTTAAGTAGCAAGTTAAAGTGAGTCTTATACCATGTTTCCCGATAAGGTTTATCCGTCGCAGCATCTGTTGGGTTAAAGTAAGTTTTGGTTAAATTAAACTTATTTCTATTATTTAATAATGTTAAATTTTTATGATGTTTTCCGACTAGCCAATTACATGTTTTGATTGATAACTATTTTACACAGTACAGAATACGATATATGAAAGGATAATGGCAATGAATTTTCTGTGTCAACATGAAATATTTATGTGGAAGTAATTTTTTTGTATGCAAATAACATATTTTTCGAAAATTCCTTTGTCGGTTTAAGCCAAAAAGGGTGGGTTCGATCGCTGTTCATTAAGCATATAATGCCATTCGAGTAGCTACTTAACTACCTTATGTGAAGTGTGCTTGAATAGCTACAAAAGGGTTGTTGTGCGTAGCCCGTAGGGTTACAATGGAAAACGTGTAACCTTTACCCGAACGTCGCTTTACACGAGGTAATCAATCATAATTTTCGCAAAGAACGGTGTTCGTTCAACACTTAAGGTCAGGCGGCCATTGCCAGCTGGGCTATTGACTTGTGTACAACTTTGAAACCGAAACTGCTCGTTGAACATTACCAAGGACTTTTATCAAGCGAACGCGAAAGAGTTCAATGTAGACTCAGTCCTTTATGGTTGCTGTAATAAGGTTGAAATAAAATATGCAGGTGTAATATTTTCAAAAGAGTGATTTTTTTTGATTTTTTTCAATGCTGAACTTTATTTTGGAATCATTGTAGTTTCAATGGATGAAAGTACAAAAGTGTCAGGTTCATACAAAGAAAATTATAAGGGCGTATAAGGGGGGGGGGAGTTGTTTGTTACATAGGTATAACTCAAAGTGTGATTTGTGCGTGCATTCGTCATGTTTAATCATGAATCCAAGGAGTTCCCATAGAAGTGAACGACCCGTTATGTTTGGAGGGAAATGTAAGTAGTCGATAACAATAGATGAAACCGTGATTTGTGTGGTGGGAAAAGGGCGAAAGAGTCACATTGAACATGAGAGATGACGGCAAAACGGGAGTAGTTGAAATGACGACGTTGATGGATGTGTCGGCTGAGTAAAACTGAGGAAGTCCGGGGGATAAGGTCATACTGTAAATGATTAGATTAGAATGGATTCAGACGATTTGGGCGCGCCGAAAGCGCAGAAGGAAATAAACTAGCTTAAGGAAAGCCAAAGAAAAAGGATAAGATCGATCGAGGGTCTTGTGGGGGAGCTTAGACGTAGACCGGAGGACACTGAATGGAGCTTTGTCTTTCTTTTGTATGTTGTTTTTTTATTTTAACCGTCGGTTTCTTATATAACAAAATGGCAAAAAACAATAAAAAATTTAAAAAAATATGCGCGCTGCACGTCGGAAATAGTGTAACTATTATCATTGAGTATATATTGTCAATATATACTCAATGCTATTATGTTTTAATCTTGTTTCAAGTACTTCCATAACGACCTGACTGATGTTTGCCAAGTATGTGTTTCAGACACAGTGTGTGTGTTTGTTAAGGAAATGACGTGGGTCGTTTTGCCTTCTTGCTATTTTCGGATAAGGATTTCGAACGTACCTATATTTAAATAAAGCCGTATTTGTCGTAGCGTTCTGCCGGGACTTAAGGTGGTATACTGGTGACCGGGCGATGGGGTTGATATTATATTACATGCACTAGGAACAGAGGGCGGGAAGTCTCTTGCGGACAAAGAAAACTATTAGGACGAGCGAAACTATAAAAGAAGGAGGTCACCCTATACCGGGTGATTCTTTTAACGCTCTACACTAGTTTACTTTTACATTTTACGTATACATACATTGCAGTTTTCTAGTGTTTCTTTTCGAACAAATTTTTATTTATGTTTGAAAATGTTTTTAAGGAAAAAAAAAATGCAATTATCTCAAGAGTAAACTAGCAGAGTGTAGAGCGTTTAAAGAATTACCCGGTACTGTTATAACTGCAAACGTCAAAAACACCTCCGTTCACTTTATATTGAAAAGAAAATAATAAAAAAAAACTGAAATATGTTCTATCGAGGCGTAAAAGCGGCGCGTTAACGGTGTTTGGAAAAGTTTTTTTATTAACATAAATAAATAAAATTTAAAAAAAAAAGAACCATTTTTGATCTCGATGGAGTTTGGCTGGCTCGAAACCGGGCCATACGATCAATAACGGCAGCTATACACACAGTGGAGTTGGCGGAAATCGGTTAGGGTGAAATGTTGGGCGAGCCGAACTTGGGATAAATTTCGACAGGAAAAGGTTTTCAAAAAAAAAAAAGAGAGCACGGATTCCCGGAAATAGTCAATGCCAAGTAATGAAAATATGGACACCGTTTTTCCGAGAAAGAAAACCGTCGTTCCTTTCAAGTTGGTTTGAGTTTTTGTTGAAAAAAAAAATATTTTTATTTTTTTCCCAAATTCCTGTTACACTATTGTACATAAAATATATATTTGACTATAACTAAAGCTCAGATGTGTTTATGACTTTGCATATTTTTTTTTTTTTTTTGTTCAGTGAAATCAGTATGTTTATACCCAAAATACGATTCACAAAGAATAGATTTCAAATCAGCAAACTTATATTTGACATTTTTTTTTTAGTTGTTTATTTGCCTATAATGATTATTACTAGATTTAGTAACACATTTATATGTATAATATTATTAGAAGTGTCAAGTCGGCTATTTGAGAACTCGGCTAAATTTTTTTAGCCGATTTCAATGAAGGCATATAATTTCATATTTTTAAATTTTAAAATGCATATTTCAATATCTGTTTATTGTATATTTTCCATAGAATGGGTCGATAACAGAAGTTTGAGTAGTAGTTTGAGAGTAGTCATTAATTTGGTTAATATTAAAAAAAAATATTTAAAAAAATTGTCAATAAGTTGTATTCGGTAAAATAAAACTGCTAGGTACTAATGTATTTTTGTTTATTAGCTAATGTATAATTAACTATAATTAATTGATAATTTTAAGCAATACACTCATTATATTTTTGTTCGTACACAATTTAGTATACTAGAAGCAAAGTATATTGTTACCTAAATTATTATAACAAGAACTCTGAATATCAGATACGAATATCGCTCGGGTGGTATTTTTATCAGCTTAATTGTATTTCTTTATTGTTATTAATATATTAAACTTGTAATTGCATTATAGTTATGCTGAAATAAATGTTTAAATACTACAAACTTTCTAAATATTTGATTGGAATAAATTTAAAGAGGAACATTTTCTTATTTATTGATATTGATGTGATACTTGACCTGACCTTAGGTGGGTAAAAAACATATTATCATGATTCATGGTACAAACGTTGATACCTGCTCA